GACTTGAGTGCACTGACCAATACCTGCAAAAGAAGAGTAAATGTGTCATATTAAACAGCATTAGCTAATCATGTTGGCTTACAACTTAGATCGAGAGATATTGTCAGGTGTGCCATGGGAAATTATCCAATACGTATGTATGCCTGTGCGGTTGATCGCCTGGAAGAGTAATCATGTAGTACTCTTCCATACCGGTAGGGAGCAGCAGCAGCGAGGAAATTGCCCTATGCTTCGAGACAAGCAAAGTTTCCGACGCGAGGCAATACAATGAAAGGTATCTCTCATTTAGATTTACCTTTACTGGAGATGCAATGGCACCAATGTTCCCTCTAAGCTGCGCAACTGCGCACTGGCCGCACACTCTCAACGCACAAGAAAACCTATCCAGCGCAGTGAACGCACTGCATATGAATTAGATATCCATCTTCTTTTTCTGTATCAATTTGCTGTGGAATTCAGTGAGTGACAGGTGTCCAGCCAATCACACGATACGATGCAATGACGCTGTGAAGCCAATCACGTCATTGACAGTACTTGTGCATGTTCTCTGCTCCATAACAATAACAGCGCGGCGGCGATAAGTGACGCTAATGCTAATCCTTTATCATGGCGAAACGACCGGGCAGTGAACGCGATACGTCGACTCACCAAACCAAAATAAGAATGAACTGCGGTTCTTTTAAGTTGGAATGACTGTCGGAGTAAGATAAGATAAGAAATCCTTGATTATTCTCGCAATGGAGACATTCGGAATTCACAGCAGCAAAGTTATGAAAGGAATCCACATCCGGTCCACACGACGCAACAACAAACACAAAAACAAGAAAAAAAAAGCAAGGCTCTCACTTGCCGACGGCTGCCTACTCGGGCGCCATCTTGGAGTTCTTGTATGTGCAAATAGAAGAACGAGCAGTGAAACTGGGTGAGAGATTTTCTTCTTCGAGTGAGAAAGGTCTGCTCTGCAAATCATGCAGCAAAGCTTAAGGTGTAAGCACATTTTCCGATGGAAAAAAATACGGACAAAATGGAAGCTGGACTACCTCAAGCGACACATTCAGCAGAAAAGTCTTTTGAATGATGTTGGAATTATACAAAGACTCAAGATGGGAAAAGTTTTTGGTACAATATTGCGGGAGAGCGCAAACGACCGGGAGAAAAAGAACCGGCTGTCGCACAGAACAAAATCCGACCCTGAGCAAGTTAAAGTTCCAATTGACTATATTTTACTTGCCATTAAAGCGAATGCACCAAATATTGGATTGATGTTGATTTGATTCCTATTCAGTGTGTTATAATATTGCGTTAATGTTCAATGTTAAAAAAAACACTTCTAGTAACAATATAACACTTAATTGTTAAAATAAGCTTTTTTTCACATTTTCAGGTAGTGGTGTGCCGCGGGATTTTTTCAATGAAAGAAATGTGCCTTGGCTCAAAAAAGATTGAAACACACTGGACTACACTATACCAAGATACATTTAGAGATGATTGTGCTCGATGGTTAAGATCGGAAGAAACGATTACATGAGATAACATGAGCTAGTGCTGCCCATACACATCAACCTAATTGTTGGCCACACGATTAGCGATGCCATTCCTGGCGTGTGGTCACACCTGCTCTTCATAAAAACTCCTTGGGTCACACCAAACACTTCAGTGATATCACAATAGTATAGAATACTAATTAAAGTCACTTTAACAGACTCGTGGCAAGTTAACTTTGGCAAGCTTGATGAATGCAACGATTTATCGCCAAGCAGTTCAATGAGGACACCCACCTGAATTAAGTGCTTCTGTCTCAATGATGTCATCCAACTGTGGGCGGGGACTGTCGGTCTGCAGCTCCTCCTTCAAGTGACTGACTCATGCGTGACTCACGTGCTGCCCTCAATGAGCATGCACATTCAAATTGAATGCAATTTAAGTAAAATATACTTGGGTTTCTATGTTTAATGTGTCATGTCTTTTAATTGTGTAAATGTTATGAGCGACTTCTGAGTGAATGTTACGATTGTATTACAGTTTGTTCAGTGTATGTATACATTGTGTTGTATTTACACCTTTATTTTGAGTTATCATCAAAACCCAAAATTCATATGTAGATATTATTAACATTTAGTAGATGTAATTTACTACACCCAAAAGTTTGTTTTTACAGTGTACTAAGTTCAACACGTAAAAGTGCTCATTTATCCATTTTCTTAATGGTCAACAGGGTCAATTATTGAATGTCGGCGAAACAACTCTGAACACATCACTTAACTTCATATGGTACACATAAGGCAAAAAAACTTGGTCAAGAAACCTTTGGCCGATAAGCAGCTGAAAAAATATCGTTCTATTTTTCACAACCCAAAGTTAGCAAGTATGCTATTTTTGACCTGAGCACATATTGTGGGCGCAAGAGTGTGCTAATGTGGGGCTTAGTAGGTCAAGGTGGCCCTGGTCGTAACGGCTTTCCAAGGGAAACCATAACTATGATGACTGACAAAAATCAGTTTGAATTTGACCAAGAATATACGTTAGTGTGTTGCAGCCAATAAATTAGGCAATTCAGTCTAAATGGCACGAACTGTTCTCAATGTCGTAGCTTTCTGCCAAGCAAGAGGCATTTCAGTGAAGCGTTGAGAAGAATGAAGCTCTGGATGTACATAATACTCAGCTTGTCTGATATGGAACAGCTTGTTTGAAGTACAGGCAAGAGGCTATCATGTGTATCCAAATGTGCTGGTAGAAGCCATGGCAGTGACTAATTTTGCATTTATTAGGCAGCGCTTCAGTCTGCACCTTGGCATTGTCTGAAAGCTGAATATTGAACAGACGGATTCTGTACCGCACAAAAACCATAAAGGCCTGTTTGCACGCGTGTGCATGTTTGCCTCCAATCCAAATTCACAGACCTCTTTGATGTTACTTGGAATAATTTTATGCCGACTTCTTTTTTTTTTTCATTTAATGCTTGCTAGTGAATTTTGATTGCTGCTCCAGGCAATTTTCAAATGACATGCAATATATACTATGATTTCTGCTATAATTGTTATAAGTCATTTCACTACTTAATTAAAAGAAAAGTTACAATTATATTTTCTGCTGTGCTTGGATATTATTTTACACTGTTTGTACATTCGGGATACTCTTGAAATGGGTATTTGTTTGTAGTGTGTTTTTATGGGTTGGCATTGTTCCCTGCTCCAAATTGCTATTTTGTGATTTTTGTTCCTTCGAGGGATGGCGAAACTTGAGAGCCCCGTTAAAATACTGTGCCATAATTGGAATTGCTTTATCTTCAGTCTCATCAATTAATGCACGATTTTCCATTTAATCACGAACACGCTGGCTGTATTTTGCAATTAAAATGAGGACAGATAACAGAGAAGATGCCTTTCAGCTGATAACAGTTGGAATGAGAGCAAGAGACACAATCGGTACACAAAATGACTCGCACAGACATGCACACTATTAAACAAAAGTAAAGAAAAGTAAAATACATGATGGACTCCACAAAGTAGTCCCACAAAAAAAAAAAGACGTCTTATGATATTGTGGTCTTTTTTTTTGTTTCGCAATTATTTGGGTGGCGGAACAATTAGTTCCTGATTTTGTTGGGATGGACTTACGTTTTGTCAGAAGTGTGGCTTTTTATTCAAGGAGTGAATCACTTAATGCAGGTAATCTATAGCAGAGGTAGAAAGGCGATGTTGTCAATGCAAGTTTTTTGTACTGATAGAAAGGAAGTTGTTTTATGTAAATGTCAAAATTTTTGAGAAAGGAAAATACAGTAATGACAATTATTATAACACAACATCTTACCACCATTTTAACCCTTTCATGCACCCTATAACCTGATAACATGATAATCTGTCCACTGTAGTCACTGTCCCTGAAAGGGTTCAGATACGTGTGTTTGAACTTCATTAGGTATTGCACAGGTCAAAGACCTCATGGCAGTGAGCTGTAAAATGCACTCATACAAAAGCACATCAATTGCAATTAGACGACTGTGTCAAATTTGAACTCTGGCACATACTGTTTTGAATTGAATTTAATCGATATCAACACAGTGTATCTAGTTGAGTTGAGTAGATTCTCATTTTGCATCTGTCATATAGCTTTTATCTCCATGAATGATGAAGACACCTCATTAGCTAGGTTTTGCCATTGCATGTATTTAAGCGTCTTTGGCCACCGTGGAAGGCATTAGTATTATTATTGTTATTGTTGTATTATACAAAGACACCCTCCCTCCCTCAGGCCCAACTAGGCAATTTACAGGATATTTTCATGCAGCATAAACACATAGGTTATCCGGAGCTTCGGGATGGTTCACCTGCTGTGCTTGCCTATAGTAAGTTGGGGTGACTGCAGGGGGCCTATTTATGTTCATATGTGTGTGGAAAGGCACCCCTGAACCAATTAGCTCCTGCAGTCTCGGTGAATGCGACAGCGGCATTCCACAGGGTAAAGCACTTAGCTGTGTGGGGTCCTGGCCGATAGCAATTAGCCCACTGACAACAGCCCTAATTAGCCTTTTTTGATAGGCTTGATCGCGGATCAACAATGACCTAGCTGTTCTCATGTGGAGATAACCAAAGTTGCTTCAGTATGACACATTACCTTTAAAATAATTACTTGAGATCAGATATAATTAGAAGTTCTAGATTTGTTTTAGACATACTGCTAATCAGATTTGTTTCCAATATAGTTATGAACCTACTTGCATGTACAATATATTTCCATGCAGAACATGATTTTGGTTAGTAACTAGTTTGTTAATGCTTTAAATCATGATCATGATGGACCGAGTGTCCCTGGGAACTCTGTGCAGTGCTTACAGTTGGGAGAAATGACTAAATGAAAACATAGTGTCAGTGAGATACTTGGAAATACAATGCTGTCCAATTTAATCATAGTCACACCTAGTGGCTGCAGTTGTAATACAATTTTCAATCACTGGATTCCTCTTTTTGTTGTTCTTTGATTCTTTGATTCCTCTTTTTCAGTCTCAATGTGACGCTATCCCATGATACAACATGTGTCACCGGCATGACCTGCACTGATTATGATGGCCACCCATCGCGTTCCTCCACCGTCGTACCAGGAGAGCCAACAGGTGAGTCACAATTGAAGAAAAAAAATAAATAAACATGCGTAAATTAACCAAAGGCGGCACAGTAGTCGACTGGTTAGCACATCGTTCTTGCAGTTCAGAGGTGCAAGGGTTCGATCCCAGACCCCAGCCTTTCTGTGTGGAGTTTGCATGTTCTCCTCGTGCCTGCATCGGTTTTCTGCGGGTACTCTGGTTTCCTCCCACATTCCAAAAACATGTACGGGAGGTTAATGGAACACTCTAAATTGTTCCGAGGTGTGAGCGCGGATGTTTTTTTTTTTTTTTTTTTTTTTTTGTCTACACATGCCCTTTCGATTGACTGGCAAACAGTTCAGGGTATCCTGCCTCCTGCCCGAAGACAGCTGGGATCGGCTCCAGCACGCCCGTGACCCTTGTGAAGATAAGGGGATCAGAAAATGGATGGATGGATGGATAATTAATTAACCACCACCAAAATGTCATGCAGTTATGCAATTAGTTTGTACACATGGTGGCTGCCAAATATCCCTTCTCATTTCACCACTGTTAGCTCTACTTCCGCATTCACACACAACATTGAACAAAAGGAACAGCCATTTTAATATGAAACCCAATATTTGAATGAAACATTTCTTTCAACCATGTTGGCTGGTTGCAACATAATGGTTGGTCTTCATCTGATCATGATCTTTGCAAATTCAAATATGCTGCAGTCCACCAAAAGATCTTTTACAATTTTTGACTTTTCAGAATCAGTGATAGCTCTTTTTTTAGCCCCCTTTGCCCAAGGAAAATCATTGCCAAATACCTGTAGTTATGCACACCTTGATATCGGGTGTTGACACCACCCCTCATGAGACAAATACACATGACCTGATATGTTCAAATCCAACAAGTTTGCTAGACAGCCTTGAGATGATAAATTTGCACAAAAATTGTGCATATTATTAAAACTGGTCAAAATTCTGTCTTTCTTTATTGTGCGTGCAGTGTATACTGAATCTCCACGATAAAGCTTAAAGTAATAAATGTTTGCTGTCTACGACAGCGAGTGAGTCCAAGAAATCAGGCAAGTCTGTGGCTCATGCTACATAACAAACATTAGAGCACATGCTACTGTACATACAATTACTGTAGATACCCACAATGGTGTTCATTAGTCCGCAATTGTGATCGTTTGTGGGGTCGTCTTCAACTCAATTGCAAGTCTACGTGATGTACATATGACCCCTTCATTGTTGTTGCTTGTTCAATTGTCTGTCGTCGAGTGGCGCTTTTAATGTGACTTCAAACTTGTGACGTCAGAGCAGACGTCCTCTGTGCAAGCAGGTCACATTGACGGATATACTACATTCACGTGGGACATTTGAAAAAAAAATGGCTGTGAGGTGAAAGTTTTACTTGTGCATACAAGAACTGCAATAAGACTCTCTTTAACCTAAAAGCAATAAAACCCCCACCTATAATAAAAAAAAAAAAAAAGTCAAAATGAAAAATTTGATTAAAGCCGTGTAACTAGCAGTAGACTATGTAATAAGTATTGTGCATATAATCATTATGATGAGTTAAAAAAATACATCTTACATATACTGTATGTATAGTAATACACAGCGTGCACCAAAAATACATACAAAGTGCATATACTAGAGCAAAATGAGTGTGTGTGATTACAAAAAAAATACTTAAATATGTAAATGAAAAAATATGTATGCCCGTAAATACACATTTATAATCTGATGAAGTCAAATGTTCCTTAAAGAATCAAGCGGCATGCCCCAATGTGTGATATAATGTGCGACCAATAGGTCAGTGTTAATTAATAAACTCTGAATGTATCTGGAGCAAGCCATTGTCCCACGGTGGAGACAATCCCACCGAGAGGAAGTTGAGCAGGTTCATCCTCCTCCTCCTCCTCCTCATCCTCATCATCATCCACCACCTCTGTCTGCTTTCACCCAGAGTATTAATGCAGTAGGAGAGAAGCGGTATGCATGTTCGGAAAATGCAAATGAGAGCTAGTTAAGTGTGAAAAAGCTAATTTATTTCCCATTTCGTGCTGGGATTAAGACTTGAAGCGTTCACCCACCCCAACCTGTCACAAAAGTGGTGGGGGTGGGGGTGCTGGATCTGGAATTGGAGAGACTAAAGAGAGAATGAACGGTAGAGAGCAAAGGTTATTTTTTTTCTGATCTCGGTACAAATTAGCATCTAAAAATTCAGGTTAAATGACAAGCAAAGTGTTTCATTTTCGAACTGCCAATTAACAGCTGTTCAACCGGACTCTTTAAATACCGTCTGACCCGCACGTTGTGTCAAGTTTGATTAATTGAGTCTCGTGTTTCATTTTATTGAACAACTTGATTACAAAAGAGCTGCCCTGTCGTGCAAAATAATTCCATCAATTGTCATTTGTAGTCTGCCAGTATGAAATACATGTCGCATACTTGATTGCATTTGAGAAGTGATTATTAAAAGGCCTTACTCCAAGCTGCATGATGATTAGAATGATAGCAGTTGACATTGTTTACACACACACACACACTGCCTTTTCTCTGTTTGGACTGACTTTTGAACACATCTCATTTTGTCCTCATGTTTTGGTTCACAGATGACGGGCACAACCCAGCAGAACAACAAGACCCCACAGGTCCATATCCCAGCAGCCCCTACAGGAGGAAATAACTCTGTCAGTGTGACCCTTGACCCACAAACCCAACTTGAATCTGACAAGAGGGCTGTTTACAGGTTGGTACAACCCATTTTGTTTTCTGTATAGTTTGCCAGAGTGTAGTTTGCCAGTACCGTGCTGTATGTTGCACATAGCGCACATTTGACAATAAAGTTGACTTGCCTTGATTTGAATTGTAGTCGGCAAGAATGACACGGTACCATAACTTCCAAGTACCGGTACTTGAAAAAATAATGCAGTCAGACGCTCCAACTTGGTATCAGACCAAGCTGCAGCGTGTCAGCCGTCCAAGTCGCACAAATAAAGATAGGTTGAAGTGCCTGGGATTGTTTTGGACCACCATGTAGCTACAGACACTTTCCAGACCAAGCCAGTAGAAATGTATCTACTGGAATTGATCAAGGCATTTTACCGCATCACGCTTTCTCTGCATTTGAGATCCTTCCCTTAACAAATGCCATCAACGTGATGAATAAATATCCGAGTCTGAATGTGTACTTGTTCACAGCTATCTCACTTGACTTGCATCATTTGCTTTTTACAAAGGACATTTTGAGCTGGGGTCCTCGCACGCCTGCATACACTGACGTACGGGCGCTTTACGCTCAGTGCATTTTGGGGACGGGCTGTGCGCTTACACATTTCATGCAGCTGTCCTGATGTAAAACATAATATGTATATGATCGGTTGGGTCTCGAATTATCAAGTGAGCCCAAGCTTAAATCAGGTGGCTCACTGTTGCATAACTCGTACCGTATAACAGGCAGATCCTTGTACTTGCGTCTTATCGTTTGTAATATACACAACCGACAGAATGTGGTTCGGATATAAAATAGTGATGATCACAATCGCAGCAAACAATGATATCACTCGCGTTCGGTGCAAGACACGTGGTAGATTCAAAAGTTGATTATACAGAAGGATATTTCAAACTCAGCCAGAAAAAAAACATCCATCAATGCATTAAACATTAATAGTTACAAATATGAAATATGTAAACAATGTGGCCTGTCTAACAATCAATAAAAGGTGACATACGTGTATATCAAGAAGAATGAGCCACAGTGAGCCTCTTCCACAGCATTTTCTATTTATTTAAGTTTTTTTTGTTTAGACTCCTCTCCTTCCTGACTACTGTCAATTTGTGGTTGAGCTCGGCATCATGAAGCCCCTGACCTACCCAATCTCCTGGCGTACCATTGCCTTGTCCATCCATTTTCGAATCCGCTTATCCTCACGAGGGTCACGGGCATGCTGGAGCCCATCCAAGCTGTCTTTGGGCAGTAGGCCGGGGGACTCATTGCCTTGTATTCAAGCCATTTCAGTCTTACCAAACTGCAACAGTGCTTCCGTTACAGGAAACAGCAGTGACGAAGTAAAGCATTTAGTATCAACAAAAGGAACGCAGTATTCCATCCATCCATCCATTTTCTGATCCGCTTTATCCTCACAAGGGTCGCGGGGCCTGCTGGCACCAATCCCAGCTGTCTTCGGGCAAGAGGCGGGTTACACCCTGAACTGGTTGCCAGCCAATCGCAGGGCACACACAGACGAACAACCATCCATGCTTACAATCGCACTTAGGGACAATTCAGAGTGTTCCATTAACCTGCCATGTATGATTTTGGAATGTGGGAGGAAACCGGATTACCCGGAGAAAACCCACGCAGGCACACGGAGAACATACAAACTCCACACAGTAAGGCCGGAGCTCGGATCGAACCCACAACCTCTGCACTGTGAGATCGATGGCTAACCACTCAAGCACCGGGCCACCATTGATATAAACTAGAAAGGAATACATCTTTCATGGGTACTTTATGGGGATTGCAAACATCATATTCCCGTCATTCATGTCAGAAATAACTGTTCATAAATTTTGGATCTTGGCACCATCCTGCTCATGATTCATTTACCTTGATGTGATATTTTCTTTCTTCTGGTCTGAAGAAAATTTGGGGGAAAAAAATGGACTTACTTCTAAAGTGGGCTTTCGTATAATCTGTTCAATTTTGTTTACATACAAGCTTTCGAACATTGTGCTTGTGGGGGGAAGGCCACCTCTTTATGTTTAACCTAATAATTCAAAATCAATACTACAGTATTGTTCATTTATTCAGAGCCGAGGCACCAATAATTACCAATTCTGTGCATCCATTTACCATACCACTTACCCATGTCAGGGTTACGGGTTATATCAGGTGACTATACATACATCAGACTGGTCAGCACTCAACCGCAGGGCACAAATTACCAACTAAAACAATCACATTATACCAGCTACAGTGGAGCTGTTGATCTTAGGTTTCTTGTGGGTAAAAACAGTCTTACTATATCATGACTCTATTTCTTGTATGTGCCAACAGTCATTTTCAAAGGTAAGCATCACAGCTCACTCCAATGAAGGGATAAAGAGTAATCTAATATACTGACTGTGTGTGTATATATATATATATATATATATAAACTAAAACAATCACATTATACCAGCTACAGTGGAGCTGTTGATCTTAGGTTTCTTGTGGGTAAAAACAGTCTTACTATATCATGACTCTATTTCTTGTATGTGCCAACAGTCATTTTCAAAGGTAAGCATCACAGCTCACTCCAATGAAGGGATAAAGAGTAATCTAATATACTGACTGTGTGTGTATATATATATATATATATATATATATCAGTGGCGGGCCGTGCATTGAAATTGCGCAATGTCGCAGTTTCATATAAAACACCAACCAAACAATAACAAAACAAACTATTCTTTGAAAATAAACAGATCATTTGTATTTTGAAAATCGCCGATACAACAGCAAATAACTGAAAATGTTGAGCAGCTGAGATTGAACGAACTTTCGTGCACGAAGG